AGGTATTTGTGGTGGCCAGGTGGAAATTTGGAAAAAGAGCCAGAGGTCTATAGAATGAAAGTCCATCTGTTCGGAGCAACTTCATCACCATGTTGCGCCACGTTTGCCGTGCAAAAATCGATTTCCGGTAACCAAGATAAATTTCCCCAAGTTGTTACACAAGCAGCTAAGGAACAGTTTGATGTGGACGATTTATTGATAAGCGTGGATACTATAGAAGAAGCTAAACTGACTTATTCGTATTTCAGAAGACTCTTAAGTCTGGGAGGATTTAACTTAACTAAATGGACGAGCAACAACCTTGAAGTGCTGGAGTTCATTCCGGAGAATGATCGTACTGAAGGAAGCATCGCCGTCTGCGAATCAAACGAGATGAGTAAACGAACGCTGGGGTTAGAGTGGAACATTAGAACAGACGAATTATGTTTCAAAGTTCACGAGTTTCATGGAGACCTAACCAGAAGAAATATTTTGTCGTCAGACGATAGCATCAAACTAAATGAGTGGTTCCGTAGACCGAAATTTTTATGGCAAGACGAAAGTAATTGGCCGAATCCACCCGAAGAAGAGAAACATGTTTTAGCTCACTTGTCGATAGAAGAACTAGGCGAGACATCAACGAAGAGTCGCTCAGACCAATTTTTGAATCGATTTAGTGATAGTAAGACATGGTTCAGAATGATGAGAATATTCGCTTTATGTAAACGGTTCGCCCGTAATATGAGAATGAAGTTAGACAGAAGACCATTAGTTTATGGTAGGTTGAGACTGGAAGAAATCGATAGCGCGAAACAGGATATAATCAAATTGATTCAAACGGTCTCATTCCCTATGAAGATGGAAGCACTAAAGCAAATACAGCATGATGAAGAGAGCGGCAACAAATATGAATCTCGAGAAAGACCGACAAAAGTAGATGGATTTGCTTCGAATAAGGAAATGATACCCCAGTTAATATCTGCTGGTAAAAGAATGAGAGTAGATAACATGATTAGAGAAGGAGGACGACTTCAACTATCGTGCTTACCTTTCGAAAGCAAACATCCACTCATACTTCCTAATAAGCACTTTGTTACCGACCTAATCGTAATGCACTTCCATCTACAGAACGCACATTCTGGTATTACTCATACCATGAACAGTCTTCGCGAAGAGTGCTGGATCATTGAAGCTCAAAAACTGGCTGATCTATTCTGGAGTAGATGGCTACGGAACCAATGCCTACTAGAGGAAGCTGACTACTTGAACGCCGCGATAACGAGGTCTGGACGTGGTGACCGCTTCGGGGGGAGTGTTAGTTATTTTATGACTAATTGTAGTTATGTCATAACTAACCAATCAGATTGGTTAAGCGCTCACCACGTCATCTAGTCTGACCGATGTATAAACTTTCTTTGTTGTGAATGGTCCATCGATTGAAGGATGTTATCATTTTATTTATATTGCTGCGACTCATGTTTTTTATTCATTTTCTAAAGACACGCTATACTGTCCGGTACGTTTGCTCATCCTGCTTGCTAATTGTAATTTCCTCATTTATTGTACTAATTTAATCGTTTCTTTTTGTTTAGAAACAGATAAAGTTTAATACCGAATTGTCTTCTGTTAACTATAGTTTCACTTGGGACACTGTGATCGGCAGTATTTGCGTTTACCTTTTTAGAATTACATCTGTAGGACAAATTTAAATCCTACAATTACTTCTAATTCCCTTACTACCTCTTCTACTATTGGATTTGAATTGACGATTACTTCTCTGTGCTGATGTGGTATGGCAACATGAACTGATGTACTTATGTACAAAGTTCTACGTTGCATCTGACTGACTGAGCTGACACCTATTACCATGGCTCAGTACACTTTTCATGAACTAATTCTATGTTTTAGTGTGACCACTCCTAGCTTCCAGCCCACTACACCAAACAAAGCGGCCCGTTGAGGTAGGCCGCAGTTATGTATGCGTGACACTGGGTAATAAATAATGTCCTATTTGTCAAGTCGTTCCTATTGATCACTGTAAGTAATAGTGATTCACAAAACATGGAATTATGTTTGGTGGTTTAATGCAATCAATAGGAACTCTCGAGTCTCGCTAACACGTTCCAACTTTACACGAAACTCAAACCCAAGGTTTCTTGCTAATTACCACTAACCACCTTACTCTAAGTCAGTTTTATATTAACTAGTGACTCAAACTTTATAACCTCCCAGCTAAATATGACTACGAAAAATGTACCTGATTAACAATATATAAAGTCTAGATTTAAACGTAGAAGAGCCATAATATGCATCACATCTGTAGTCTTTCTGTACATTTCTCCGGGTTCTCTATTTTCGAAATAAATTAATACTCATGATTATTCCTCTAGTTTTAACCCTTGAACCAACTGTTCATTAAAGCTTGCATTATGTTTCCCTACCCTTTTTTGATCTGAGAACATCACAAAATTATCTTCTTCATCTTAAGCCTTGAGTTTTATAAATACCAATTCTGCATTCATGTGCCTCCTTGTTCTTAGTTTATAAACTCAGTGACAGCCCAAAAACTGGGTGGAAATTATACGTTTAAGGTTTCTCCGAGTATATATTTCTGCTAGTGGGAAACTTATGACGTAAGATGGCGACATCATTCTCAGTGCTTAATATTATGGTTTGCTTTTTAATGTGTTAGTGCTCATGAGGTAATTCGAGCACTCCACTGAGCCGTCTTGCAACATTCAAAATGCCAAACCATATATTTCTGCTTGGTAACCTGAATACTATCTCCAACTAAACGCTAACCTCACGTCTGTTTGGTTACTGAAATGCATTACTTTAATATTACATAATTCCGAAGTTATTTTTTAACTATCTCTTCATTTTGAGTGATCCTTATTCAAATGTTACATATCTAAAACCACCTTGTTTATATTTTGATTAATCCTGTAAATGTAGCTGTTGCTAATTGGTGATGCCTGCCGTCCTTGACGGTAAAACAAGACTTCTACGCTACCCTGCCTTACTGTCACAATGTTTTCTTGAATCTTCAGTTTATGCAAAATGTGTAATGTCTCTAGAAGATGTTAAGCATAATTCTTGTGAAAAAGAATTTCAAATTTTGAAACGCTGTGTTCAAAACCGTGCACGTGAAACCGGTATACGACTTTGATTTCCGTTGCTGTTTAAAATGTCGGGAAGCGAGAAATCAAAAGCCAACTTGACTTCCCATGTTAGTTTGTTCCCAGCACCACCCTGGCAACTGATCAATAAACTCTTCAGTACCGATACCCCTCCACGCCCTCCTACTCCTCCCGGTTCAACTGCCTACAGAATGTTCGGAAACTTTTATAATTCTGAAGATGCCATCCTCCGATCCCTAGAGTCACAAGGTGTTCGTCGAGTTTATCCACAGGTTAGTTAACCTATAGATTTATCTATTTCAGTTTTCAAAAATAGTAATAGCGTGTATCACGGTCCTAGAGATATATTCCCACTGAGTTAGATATGCTAGATGCATATTAAGAGTTATTACTATCTGAAAATGTTTCAGAACTATCGAGATCACTCTAAAAAACTAAAGTTATGATAAATAATTCTTAAAAGATCATTAGAAATGTAACCACCCATTATTCTTTCTCATAGTTCAGCATTCTTCTGTTACACGCACATTTCTAAATAAATGTTGTGTGACATTTTTTGTGTTGAATTACAAAACATCAAATGTAGGTGTTGTGTATGATTACAAATCCTTTTTAACTCGAGTTATCCATTCTGGGGCACTTGTTGCTTTCCAAATTTAAAATCTTGAAATTACAAAAAGTGAGCTAGCTATTCATGAGGTCACTGACAACTGAATTGAGTCATGTTGTGTAGACTACCTGGATGGGGTCACGTGATGATAGTAATCGATGGTTAAAGACCTTGAATGATATGACTTAAAACCGTTTCCGATGGCACAGGTTCATCCATTTTTCGGCTTCTCTCAAATCCTAATCTTCTGAATTCCTTATGACCGTTTTTTCTCTAACTGATTCCTGTGAGTTATCCATCTCGAATGATATATTCTATCATTAATCTTTTTGATTACCGGTATTACTTCTACTACCTCTACTACTATGTGATATAAATTGACCATTGCGTTTCTGTGCTAATGTGATTTCGCAACTTGAACTGATGTACGTACGTACAGAGTTCTACGTTGTAACTGAAGCGTTCAACACGCTCATTTACTTCACTCCCAATCACTGGTTCTGGTGCCGATGCAAGCTAATCCTGAATCAACATTTTGCATTTTGAAGGGAAGAGTTGTATCCCGGACATGCTTGCATTGTTGCTTAAGTTGGTCAGAGGACTGTACGTTTTATCACTGCTTTCACCAAACAGAACTATGTCGTCGGCATATTCTAAGTCAACAAGCGTATCTCCTGGTAGAAGGTCAAATCTTGAAAAAGTCACGCTTAAAGTGTCGTTTCTAACAGCAACAGATGAAAAAGTTGAATAAGAATGAAGAAAGTGGACAACCCTGATGAACACTACTCGATGTAATCAATTCTGATGACAGTTCCCCATAACCTCCCACTCGACTAGTAGTTTTCGAGTAGACAGTTTGTATAAGGCTGATGTAATTCTTTGATACACCTTTCAATGACAGACACTACCTCAGAACCTCACGATCAACAGAGCCAAATGCCGCCTTAAGGTCGAGGAATACGACATTTGTCGGACACTGAGATGTGTGTCTATGTTCTAGGACTTGACGAAGAGTGAATATTTAGTCTATAAATCCCCGTCCATGTCTGAGACCAGCCTAATTTACTCCAGTTTGCTCTTCACTAGTTAGTCATTGAAGTATTATTGAGGCTAATATTTAGACACAGTATTATTCAAACTGATTCCTCTGTGACTATGACGAAAGGAATTCTGTCCGTTCTTATACACTGGGACAATCAGTGATTAAGATTAGTCAGATGGGATTACATTCAGACTCCGGATTCGGGCTAAGATCTCTGTCAATCTAACTGTTAATACTGAGCCACCATCCGTAAAAATCTATCGGGACCTACTGCTCCTCCTCGCTTTAGGTTCCCCATAGCTTTTTCGACTTCATTGAAAGTCTGAGGACTGATATCAATTCACCGTTCAGGTTGACTGGGTAACCGGAATGTGGCTGAAGGCTAGTTGAATTAATCCCTAAAGTGTTCTGCCCATTAATCCAATCTCCTGGATTGAGAATGCATAATATTTTCATGTTTTTCCGAGATAGTTTCACTAACATTAGGATTCCTAATACCGGTTTCCTTGATAAGTCTGAATAGTTGTCTACTGTTACCTAGTGCCGCTGCCTTTTCAATCTTTTTTGCTTTTGCTACACAACACTGTTCGCGATCATTGCATAGGTTTTTTATCAGCTTCCGTTTGAGCTGCCTCTGCTCCTCATCATGTTTAGAACCAGATGGGATGAGTTTCAGAGGATCTATTGGTTCAGTATTTGCTACTGAAATCCGCTGCTTCTCCATAACCTTATGGTTTACCTTACTAGCAGATATCACTGCTATTTCCACAGCTTTATGGATTTCATTCCTAACTTCCTCTGGTTCAAGAAGTATAATTCAGTGAAATAAATTTAAAGAGAGAAAAATAGGGGTGATGGGGGATTCAGAAGATTACAATTTAGAAGAACACAAAGAATGGATGCATCTGCACCATTGCAGTCAATTCTTGAGCCATGTCATTTCGTGAATTCGAAACGTTTGCATCAGCGACGAGACGTGATAAAAGAATGAAAGAACGGTTGGACATGTTATTTAGAGGTGGAGTAAGGATTTGACTGTGAACAAGTTGATCTCATGTGCTGTTAGGAGTATGTGGGCGGATATCACTTCCTAGCTGCCCACACTGTGGACAGGTGTTTCTTGAGGAACCTGGAAAAGAATTTGGATTATCGTTGTCTTAGCAACTTGGAAACTTTATCGCAAAGTCAAAGGGATAACTACTTCAGGCCGTTCGTGCACGGCCTTCCCATGAGAATTCTCCAGGGTGTTAGCTTTGCTCTTCAAATGGCCTTACCACCGGAGACGGAAATCTGCGAGGTAAGGCGCGGTGGGACATTTGTAGATCCGACCTTCTTTGGTTTGGAAAACCAGTTAGTATCATCAATCTTCACACTTAGAGTGTAGTTTATACCCATCTACCCAGTCCATGAGTTAGTTTATTTGTATTTACCTTATCCTCTTTAACTACCAAACGCAGTGTTTTACTCACGAATCTCATTTTCGGTTGTTGTTATTTGTATTCAGTTCTACGTTAAATACTAATTTAGCTTAAAATATAAATTTCTGTTCTATATAACTTTTTTGCTTTATTCAAGTGAAAATAAAAAAACTACTTAGTTCTTCAGTTAAGTAAGTACTTCTTATTAATATTGTACTCTCCAAATCAAATTTCGATTTTTCTTTTTGTTTCATCTATTATTAATCAGACATATAATCGTAAACGAGAATTAAGGAAAATTAATTTTTCAATACTGGCTAACTATTTGGATTTGTTGGATATTATCACTCGTGATCCTAGCTCATGTAAACGAACAGAAAAACTTGATCATTTAGCTATTCTATTCATTAATATGCATCATCTTGTTAATGAGTATCGACAACATCAAGCCAGAGATTTACTTCGAGAAATTCTTAAATATCAGGTTATTAATTGTTCCGTTTATTTATTTTATTAGTTATATTACTTTATGTAATGTAATGTAATGTAATTTAATGTAATAATACTCTTTATGTATTATTGTATTAATTGTATGAAGAGTTTGTGAAAAACATTCCACAATGATTACATGTCAAAACAATACACTCTGAATAAACAAAAAGTACTTACATAATTGATAGCAATTCATGTGTGCTAAATATAGCCTAGCTAATAAACATAGTACCTAAGCGATCATATTATAAAAACAAGCTGTGAAGTAAATTAGCGCCAGCTTAGAAAAGTCAGTCAGTCAGTCAGATGCAACGTAGAACTTCGTACGTAAGTACATCAGTTCATGTTGCCATACCACATCAGATCAAAGTAGAATGTAATAACTAAATGGTTTATTATTTTTGTCACATGAATTTAAAACTTTATAACAGGCGTCTGCATCTTTATCGTAAGTGGAGTTAATATTATATTTATGGGACTGATATACCCGTAAAAATTTTTTGCCTCAAATAGTTTATCGTATAATTGCTGCGACCAGATAAATGGTACTTAACTTGTATAACAATTAGTTATCGAAGTCATTCGAATTTAAGCTTAACCTGATAGGGAGTCAACTATTTGATTACTTCTACTGACTTCATTCTACCTATATAGGATTCATTTTGACGTGATGGACAACAGTTAAACCTAATAGATAGGCCTTAACATCAATGTCGCATGAGTGACCTATAAGGTATCCAACAATCGCGTATTTCGCCATTCTACTGATACAATACTACTTCACTGATTACGTTATCTTTTGGTATCAGTTCATTTGGGGGCATCTATCAGTAAATCAGCTTCCCAGACAGCCGTCGGTCGACCACATTACATCATCTAACAGTTACTTTTCTATTTATTATTACGTAGCAAAATTCTACAACCTCGATAACTCAGTGAAGTTGCAACTTACTGTTTTAGACACTCAATTCTCAAATAGTAGGTTATGGGTTCAAAACGCGAGAAAACTATCAAAGTTAGTACAGTCAAGTAATATCACTAACTGTAACATAATCAAGTGGCTTGGTTACATTTAATTTCTTCATTCAAAGTTGAATGACTTCTTTAATGTATTCATTCTCAGGTAGTTAACCATATTATTAAAATACTTCTCAGGCAGTTGTCATCAACGTACAATGCGACATAAGTATGCATCAGTTGAAGTTGTCACAAAACATATTATGTAAACAAAAACGAAAATTAACACACAAAACACTTCTAATTTGTTTAACTCGTGAAAGGTTAATTTAATCGTTATTATGTTTTGAATATTGTTTAGCATAAGTCCAATCATTCCTTACTATCTATCAAATGCCAACGTAATCTTTTACTTCAACTTATTTTCACTGGCAACCTAAAATAAATATAAGCAAGCACAATATTTTATAATTTTTACACAAAAATCTTTACTTATCTATTTCTAGGTTAACATAGGAGCAGAAACCGTCGAAAAGGCTGAGCAGTATTTAACACGAGCAGATGAACAACTCAGGACAGCAGCTAATGATCTTATTATCCCGGGTACACTAGTTCCAACTTCCAGTAGTTTTAATATCATGGATAATTTACGAAGTGGGTTGAATGATTTAGGCCCCGAGTTAGCCCCCTTACTACAAACTGTACTTGATGAAACACTAATATCTAATCCTGTTGGTCGGTGTTTGCAACCTAAGCAAGGACCTATATCCCTTCCAAATCAACCATTGGAATCCTGTTCTATGAATATAAACAATGCCGATGATTATCGGTCACCTGATCACATTGATATGGCTCTTTGGGATTTTCTGTTTGAAACTAAAAATGATTCTGAAATGGATATTAACTAGTGTGTATACTTATTATGATGTATCCTCAGAATCACTCTATACATAAATTCTTTTAGTATTTATTGGCAATTTGACTTTCATTTAGTAAATATTATGTATTTCAATTAGTCACTGTTTTTTTATATAAACTTCTTTGTTTTTCGTTTGTCTTAGTTTTCAGAATATAGTAACTAAGTTTGTTGTGGGATTCCCGTAACCAGCGAATATTAGTACTTTGCTGCATTATATTCCCCATATTGACTGGATTAAGTATTTAGCTAGATTATCGTAAGTTCCATCGATATCACAGTCCTACATGATTGTTACAAAGAGATTTGTATTATTTTTGACTAAAATTATTTCGGACTTAGGGATTTTTTCAGTTCCATGCTACAATAGTTTTCAATTAATCATTTCACTCAAGATCATCTTGTTCACGATGCTGTATTCTCCTTTGATTGATTAATCTTTAACTGAACGGACAGAGTTATAGCCAAACATCAATAATTTATCTTGATTTTTTAAAAACCCAATTTCAATTTTTGTCGGAATCAATAAGAGCAATTGAATTAAACAGTTACCAATTTAAGTTGTCTTCGTTTTCTCTGGAAAAAATTTCATAATGCAAAATAGCTTTGTATTCGGCCTGTAGAATAATTTCCAAAGATATAAGATATTTTCAATACTAATATAATTGGGATATCTAAATCACTAAAACCAATATGGTATTGTATTTTGGAACGAAAATTTCAGTGATCGCTTTGTGTAATTGGGAGAATAAATGATGCAGAACCTGATGCAAGTTTGCATCATTTTAATCTTTCAGTATATCAAGATTGAATCAACCAAAGAATCGAAAGTTGCAATGTAATATTTGTAAGAAGAAATTAAAAACAAATAATAGCAGTAAATTATAAGCTTAAAAGAGAAGCAAACTGTGTTTACGCTCATACTTAGTGTTCCAGACTTGCGTTTTTTGTTTTAATGGTAGTTAAGTAACTCATGGACTTTTACACTACCTAGACCAACAGCCAAGCACTTGACGCGTTGATTTATATGGCCATGTAGTCTTCTCTTTGTTCTAGCTGACACACACGATCGATTATTTTCTTCTGATTCCATTCAAAAAAATGTCCCAAACCCGGATTTACTGAAAACTCTGCCAAATACCGGCACTGGTTATTCTACTGCACGTGTATGGTAGTTTCAGTGTATCTGTGGATGGTCAATAACAGCCTTCACAAGACTTCCATTTTCATAGCTCTCAAGTAGTAAAATGTAGACGGCTCCTTGTTAAGCTTAGATTGAGTTATATTTCCTGCTCAACGAGTGACATCCTTCCTACAAGAACAGTAAAACTTCATGTATCCTCTCTGAATTTCCTTTACTCACCAATTTCGATGAATCTTCTTGAGTAATCATAGTTAGAATGAATTTCTTTTATCACCACTTTGTAGTCTGAAGGAGTTATCATTTTACATAGCTGCATCTACATAACATCGTGACACTAGTAAAATTCAATAATCACAGCTTGCACACTTCTGACCTAATACTGAAGAGCACAGTCAGTTTTAAACTACAAGAAATTTGGCGTTGACCTGTTTTTATATAAGCTGCCGTATTTCACATAAACGAAATCAATGATAACAGAACTAAACGTAGGTCTCCAATCATGTATTGCGTTTTATTAGATGACCCTAACCAAATTTTTTTGGCATGAGGGTCAAACTGACAATCACTGACTTCATAGTCTCCCAGCCCTTAATCTCTCAACCTACAATACTAGCCAAAATAATGCTTCGAAATAGGTAGTAATGTACGCTAATTACATCTGTGCTCCCGGTGTGGTGGATACTACTTGTAATGTCGTTTCTAAGTAGTATTCAGCGAAGTGTTGCCCGGAAGTTATTACTGGAGATATGAGTGGTAGACCAAAATGCATGGCCAGATAGAAGTGTTTTGAAGACTATACGACATATGAAAGAAGGCAGTCAGTAATCTGCCTGTTTTGCAAATGAAAGTCTGGAAATTAGGTGTACGTATTTTGTAAATAAATTGTCTTCTCTAGATACATGACTATTCCATTTGTTCTTGACATCTTCGTTGATTGCAATGGTACATTCCACTCCTGTATACAAATTTCATAACAGGCTGCCTATATGATAACCGATTTTTCTTGTCGGAAATTAGCTGTTGAATTGAGCCTTGCTGACTACTGGATTAGTGTCCTTGTGATCAGTAGTTGGAGACTGATGACACAGACAGATACAACACAAAACTTCGTACGTACGTAATTAGATCAGGTAGCCATACCGCATCAACACAGAGGCTCAACTGTCAGTTCAAATCACAGCGGTAGCGAGAGTAGAAGTATTAACAGTAATGGAGCACATTAGGGTTCGAAGATATGATTCGTGAAGTGTAATTCAGTGAGATAAATTTAGATAGAGATGATAAGGAATTCAGGAGGTTAGAATTTGAGAAAACACAAAGAGTGGATGCACTTGCGCCACTGCAAACGATTTTGAGCCATGTCGCTCAAGGTCTCCAGCCATCGATGACTTTCGTTTTGCGGACCCAACCATGTAGTCTACATCTACCAACATGAAGTTCCACTACTCCATCAATCGATTTGCAATCATTATATAGTACTCGTTTCCTAACTATAGCATTGCTTACTCGGTTGTCCCAGGATATACGAGCAATGCCTCGAAGACATCTATAATCGAATACTAATAACCTACGGAAGTCCTCTACTCTCACCGGCCATGTTACGCAGCCATAAAATAGGACGGAGCTAACTGCTGCACAGTACACTCGACCGTTGATTTGCAAACGGATATCTCGCCTACGCCATAAGTGACGCAAGTTGGCAAAGCCAATCAAACTTTCTGTATCCGTGCTGAGATTTCGTTAGTCACTAGGCCATCAGCACTGATGAGACTCCCGATTCAAGTGAAGCGGTCTACACGCTCAACCGCTTCATTCCCTATCACAAGTTCAGGTGTCGGTGCAACCCAATCTTGAAGCAACATTTTGCATTTCGAGGGTGAGAACCGCATCCCGAACATGCTTGTATTGTTGCTTAGCGTGACAACTCAGACTCATTCACAATGTTGAAGATGCGTTTACTCCTAATCGTCATCTCTATCATGAATTCTAGTATCTCTTTTTACCTACCTTTCCGCTTTGTATTTTCGACTTATATCCCAAATCTTATTATTGTTGCTACTATATTATTTCAATCCCTTTTGATACGTATCTTGTTGATTTCATTTCATTTTACTAATACGGTATGACGACTTTGCCAGGCCCTGCATCGATCATAGTTAATTACTTGTTAAAAATGATCCCAAATCATTGTGTATAATTTCTAGATTGTGTAACAAAAACTGCTATTTTCTGTTTCACACTTGATATAATATGTTGTACTTTATCGTTTTTGTTAACTATTCATATTAGATTAAAATACTAATCCCATATTTTATCGAATAAACTATAAAGTATCTTATTCCATTTCCGTATGACCTCAACTTAATGGAAAATGATGTACACTGTCATACATATCAAGATGGTCACAAATAAAAAAAATACTACTAACCTCACAAATTCACACCTACTGGGTCTTCGTGCTCGATAATCGTTGTCGTCAGAGATTGCTATCACTCATTGAGACCAGGTATTATTCAATGATCCGGCCCGAAGATATGTATTAGAGCAAGGAAGAGATCATGACTCAATCAGCGAAGCCATCTTAAGAAACTAATTGTAGTGGTTGATATTTCATTTACCTCGTCCTAGTAGTTTTTAATAGAACATTATTTGCAGATGTTAGGACCTAATGGAAAAAGTAAATAGGTTATCGTTCTGTAACACAGCCATGCGTAATAAATTACGGCTATGTGATGTTGGGATTTTGTGAAATATCTATATACTCGATAGAGTTGTGAAGATGATGCAACTCCATGATTGACACTGTTATCGACATTATTTAGGGTGGTTACCTTATCAATCCTACAGTAGCTTCTCATTTTATTCCTTCTAAACGGTAAGATTTACTTTTGAAATGAACAATACCTACTTTAGTTATTTTCCTACTGGACTATCTCACATTTTTTTTGTAATAAAATCATTTCACGTGGGATCGTTAGTAACTTTTTAAAATCGAAAACTTACAAGTATAGGGAATAGCACATCTTCCTCCTATATTTGAAAATATGATTACTCAACTCTAGTTTGATTAGAATACATCCAGCTGATGAGACCTAATGAAACTCGCATTCTCTTATATTCCATTGTCGAAATTGTATCTGAATATATTTATTTTTAAAAGATAATAAAAATGAATTATCTTAAATAAGAAAAGTTAAATGTTGTCCAATAATATATTTTTCTTGTTCTCTCTTGGGAATTTTCCCCCAAATATAGAAAACGAATTACTTCGGAAAAAAAATTTTTCAACAAAAAAAACACCTACTTGTCATAAAGTTAAATTAAGAATTAAAAATCACTTTATTTTACTCATCTATTCTCTTGATTGTTTCATTTTCTATATGTCAAAATACACAAAAACGCAAGTTGACATTCTAGTCCCAACTGAATAACTCCGAAGTAAAATGAAATCAAATGACTAGAATTGTTATTCACAACAGTACAGTGAAGTGAAAAACATTGCAATTATTAGCAGTAGTAGTAGTAGTAGGAATCACTTGTTAACAATGACACTACTGACATGAGATTTAAGTAAATATTTCAGTTGGATATATGTCTGGTGGGATTTACAAAATAAGTTAGCATGTATTGTAATTTTCCTGAACCCTAAAATTTGTGATAGAATTTGATTGTCTACAAGACAAAACCATTCAGGAAAACTCGCCTGCATGACACTACAGTTGTCATATCCTATTCTGAAGCTCATCTGCAGGAAACCGAATTGACTCACTTTCTGACTAAGTAAAAACTCTTGAGTCTCAAATTAATAATGTAATCTCCCGAACTATTAGATAGCGTTTAACTATGTAACTGACCTCATATGGAGAAACAATGGTAATAAATGATTGGTCCCAATACAAATAATCTCAGATGGGTGTAATCATGATTCACATTTGATGGGACCAATGACTTTCAGTCTCACTACGCTGATTAACAATTGAAGTTAAGTCCAGA